ATAAGGGGAGAAAAACTGTATGCTATCAACCACATAACTAACCCTATGCGGCTATGCCAAATGTACGTGCTTTCCTCAATCTCACCCAATCTAGAAGGGAAACGCGATCGAGCTATTAATGTGTCGTTGATATCTTCCATTTCTGTTACATTTGTTGGCCCGATCAATAAAATCGTTCTATCGCGATCTAGCCTCCTATCAATTGTGAACAGTAAAGGAATAAAAACCGTACAACTATATATGTTGTACGATAATGTATAATCGGTTTAATTATTAGTTAGACCGGTTGACTTAGTAGTAATGTAATAGATGCAGTCTCCAGAGTGAGACGGGTAGATCACACAGCAAGAGGGGGTGAATGGTTGGAGTATCTAAAAAGCAAAACTTTTAGCGGAATTAAAAGTTACCCTCGAATTAATGGAGAACGATCTGACCAGAGTAGATGCATCGGTCTGATCACATGAAGACATCCAGTCTGACCAGTGTTGTAGTTCCGGTCGAACCGCACGATCTCGCTGCCTTCGCCTATTTCCATCACTGGTCTAAACGTCGTGGTGCCACCGGTTTAATCAGGTGGGACTATTCAATAAGACGTACTGCCCTCCTGCTCCTAACCCTTCTAAATTTATATAGTAAACCACGACAACCAATTAGAAAAAAAATAGCTAAAACCAAGAATAGAAATAATAAGTATTTTCTCTGTTTTATATTTTTTATATTATAAGTTGTTTGATTTTTTTTCTAATTAAACTTTGTTAAAGTCAAACGGAGGGAGTACTATATTATTGCTCTTGTAGAAACTAATTAAGACAACAGCATTCTTTGGCTTCAATTAATAACGATCTTCCAGGTGCAAGAGTTCACACGCAATCGATCGATCTCGCTGGCCTGCATGTTACCATAATTTTTTGTTAGAGCTTTTATAGAACTAATTGCACAGATAATCAATAGGAAGCTAAGTGAGCAAGTAAGTCTATTTTCACCATTTTGGCCATCTGAATATAAATACTGCTAGCTCATCCTATGAAGGGACTTAAGTTGACATGGTCAAAGTTCATGCTCAAGTGCTCAAAACTTTTACAGCTTTGAAACCACGCGGTATACCTCACGATAACCGCACATTTACCGCAATAACTGCTAAACCGCGGATTGGCGATAACCCGATCCCTAACGGTTCGGTAAACCCTGCTCAAAACCAATATGATTGACTCCATGTGCTTTGTCAATATCATAATAAATTAGTATTGTCGTCCACTTGTAACGGTGGTTCCTTTAGCTAGATATTATGCCATATGGGCCCATTCATCTCTCCTGCTACAACGGAATCCATATTAATTGTAGGATACCCATATGTACGGGTCTGATCAGATTGGTGCCAAAATAAACCTTATCAAAATTTTAACAAATTGGTAACATTGCCAAAATTTTAGTAGGATTGGTTTAATAATGTTGTTAAAATTCTATACACATTGCCAATATTTGGTATGAAACTAAATGTAGCCACATAATTATCAATTTTATCAAATAATGAAATGGTTGAAAATGTTATCCATCAATCTGAACAGGCCTTCCATTCTGATAGGCAGACACATTAAGTGTTTTTCGTGCCAATTCCTTCGAAACTCTTTCGTACTAGAACAGCTAGCTCTGGAAGCATGTAGTCGAAGAAAACAAGAAACAATACGGATACAACATATTAAAGCTCGACGATGAAAGATCAACCGATCGAACAAAGTTCATGGCGATCTCTTTATGAAAGAACAGGAAATAAAAATCAGAAGCATCTCGATCGACGAGGAAAGATCAACTGAACAAGTTAATGTCGAAGCTTTCGAAATGCTCTTAGCCTCTTGCAAAATAAAAGTGGAATATAATTCCTATAATTTATTTTCATGGCTTGACAACCCAATATTTAAGATCTTTTAAGCTTTATTAACTTTTGGAGACAAAAATATGAGATCTTTTACAGTCCTCGAGTACCACAAATCAACACTAAAAATCACTACTTATGTTCCATTTTAATTGTCGTTTTGGATATGGATATGGTCTCTAATCTTATGTTTCATTGTTATATATATAGATGTTTATAAAAAGGAAAAAGTACGAATTACCCCCTGAATTATCGTGGTCGACCGAATTACCCCCTGAATTCGAAAACCAGATATTGCTCACCCTGAACATTCAATATCGGAGAAAACACCCGATTAACTTAACATCGGAGTGGTTTCGATCCTGCGTGGCAGTCCAGTCAGCAATCTTTTATTTAAAAAATGGTGGGCCCCATCTATCATAGCCTCTCTCCACTCTATCCCCTCTCCCCTCTCTCTATCTCTCTCGCGTCGAAGGCTGAGAACGAGTGGCGCACACGCCAGCGGTGGCTGGACCGTCAAGCTCACCATCCGCCTCGTCCTCCTGTGGTCGGGGGAGCGGTGGCCGGTGCCGGACTGACGCGAGAAGGCAGCCATGGCAGTGGTGAGGGCGCAATGCAGCGGGGCGGCTGCAGAGGCCGGCGACCGTGGAGGCAAAGGAAACGTGGTCGACGACGAGCGGTGCGCCAGCAATTGCGAGCCTCCTCGAGGTGGAAGCCAAGGATGAGCGCATGCCGGCGGTGGTTGGCCCATCAAGCTCACCAGGCCTCGTCTTCATGTGATCGAGGAAGTAGCGGCCAGTGCCGAACTTACGCGAGAAGGCGGCCATGACGGGGGAGAGGGGCGACACGATGAGACGGCTATAGAGGCTAGCGTCCACGGAGGCGAGGGCGGCGTGATCTAAGGTGAAGGTGCGGTGCCGAAGATAGCCATGGCGGGGGAAATACGGCAGCGGAGAAGACGAGTCAACGCGGTGGGGCACCTGCAAGGAACGACGGTATTGAGGGGAGCTCCTCTGCGGATGTGTTGGGTCAGATTTGAAGTTGTTGGCACACGCCGCCCTCACCTCCGCCTCCATGCCGTCGTCGGCACACGCCGCCCTTGCCTCCGCCTCCATGCTGCCGCCAATCGCACCTCTCTACCACATCGCCTCGTCTCCCCCAACCGCCGCACGCTTCAGAAGGGGAGGGAGAAAAGAGTCAGTCGTGTCGCCCCCTCTCCCCCGCCGCCACGCACTACAGAAGTGGATGGAGAAGAGAGAGGTGGGTAGGGATTCTGACGAGTGGGCCCTAGCGATTTCTTTTTTAAAAAATTGATGACTGGACTGTCACGTGTGCTATTTGAAGCCTAATCCACTCGCAACTGTGCTCAGGGGGTGTTTTGTCCGGTATTAAAAGTTCAAGGTGAGTGTTGTCTGGTTTTCGAGTTAGGGGGTAATTCGGTCAACCACGATCTACACGAATTGAAATATGTTCTACCTTATCATCACTAGTTAGGATGGCTTGATACCATGAATATGTGCTATCAGAGTGTCGGTCTCAAACTATTTGCTTAATTCATATGGAATTTAACTAAAATAAATTCATCTAAGCTTCTTTTTTTTAGATAAAGATATTAAGGTGGCTATCTAAGATATATATACAGATATCGCACATCCTTCTCTATCATCAAAAATTTAAAGCATTTATACTCCCATAGAAAATTCTAGGTGAATTAGTTCTTATAAGATAATATTAGAAAATTCTAGGTCAAATTTGTTGTTAATTACCTTATGTAACATGCATGCCCACCTATAAATTTAATTTATTATTATATTTTCCTTTGGCATCTGACTAATATTAGAAATTAAACATATTATTGTACTACAAATTACTGCCTAGATATGAGGTTGATTGCAGAAAATAGAATCTATTCTAACATCACACAGTCTTAAAACAACTTAGGACATTCAAATGTGCAACATTTGCTTGGAGGGCACTTGTTATCTGCTAGTAGGATTCACTGTCAATACATTCTGTCAGTACTTACAAATGTCGATTTTAAGATTGTTCAGACGCACTAACTCATCAAGAATAATTAATTGTTCTTCCTACATAAGAGATTTTATAATCTGAGCATTAGTATTTTGTGAGTTGAGTTATATATGTACCATGTAAGGAAAGGAAACATAATGTCCACAGTCAGTTTTTTTTTCATTTTTTAACCAACAGAATATATAATCAATTCATCATACTCTCTCCTTCCCTTTTTTATATGAATTGCGTCAAACAAATAAAATCAGAGGGAGTATTCTATTAGTCACCTTTTATCTGTGTGCACCACTAAATCTTGGTTTGCAAAAATGTGACGATCGGTGGATGGATGATTGAATGCATGCTAGAAACACACCTGTTGTCTGCTCATTCTGGAGTATGGAGGATAAAGTGATTCGGAATATTCAGTAATCTCCTTAATATTCGTTCTGGGGAAGCGAACGGAAAATTGCAAGTGGCGATGCAGATGGATGTCGGTAGGAGAAAGGAGGTGGCTCGTCGTCGCATCCCCTTTCTCGTGGATGCGTTTGGCGGTGGGTGGCTAGAGGAGAGAGATGTGCCTGAGGACTGCCGTGCTATCACCGGTCACTGGTGGAGGCATGGAGGGACCGAGGTGCCACCGCCGACGTGGATGGTGACTGCATGGATGACGAGGAGGAGCGGCGGCGCCAGGGGTATGTAGGAGGAGGAGGAGGAAGAGGAGGAGGAGGCGGCGGTGGCGGTGCCGACGAGGAGGTGGATGCTGCGGCGATGAGGGGGAGAAGAGAAGGCGGTGCGATTTGGGTAGGAAGCGGCTCGATTTGGAAGCGAAAGCGACAAAGGGAAGCGAGTTTTTTTCCTTCTTTTTCTCTCACGTAAGGATGTGGAAGGGTCTTCTTTGCAAAAGAAGTTTCATGAAGGGTTTAGAGTAAGTTTCACAAATTCAAGGATCCAACGATTTACATCGCTTGGAGCTGAAATCGGACGATCTATATTTATCCGCTGACGTGGCTTCATAATTTTGTGAGAAAGGGCTCTCCTTTAACTTATTTAGATATGATTTTTAGGTCTAATGATATCTACAGACAGAGAGGAGATGGGCATTTATAAGAGTGGCAAATAGTTAAATATCTGGCACTGGGTATTTGAGTGCAATAAATGTTTCAACTCAGGTGCTCGAACATCAATTGCATTCATGCCCTGTTTTAGAACAGAGCGCCATACCACCGGCCACTAGTAGACATATATATCCGAATAGATTCACATCACATTGCTTACATTGATTTTTTAAAGAGAAAAAAGAAAAAAAGAAACTAAAAAAAAGCCCAAATGCAAAAAAAAAAGGGGTAGTAAAAGAACAAGTACACTATATATCCACCCACACACCCATTTCATCTCCCAATCCTCTTTAACTGAAGTATTTCTTATGCTAAAACAAACCAATCATCATTATCAAAAGATCATGATATCATCATGTATAAAAAAAGTTTATATATATATAGGTAGGTTGCAACTATAGCTTGGATGGATCGATCAATCAGTGTGATATATGAGCATTATATTAGCTAGCGGCGATGGCATGGCTGCGGATGGTCTTGGGGTAGAGGAACTTCTTGCCGCCGACGGCCTCGAGGATCTTCTTGCTGAGGGCGTCGCCATCGTGGTCGCTGGACTTGGAGACGTAGAAGGTCCGGGAGAACCAGTCGACGAGCTCCGGCGCCGTGCACATCACCATGTGGAACGGCCAGTACCACCCGGGCCATGTCACGTAGTAGTCGCCCCGCCGCACCGCCGCCACCACCACCTTCGCCAGCGTCTCCGTCTTCCCCACCGGCAGCGGCCCCACATTGATCTGCACCCCCCACATTAAAATTTCGGATATTTCTAATTATTAAGGTTTTTTCAAAAAAATCAACATATTTTTATTGAATTTAAATAAATTATTATCAAATTCAGAAATTTTTAGAAAATCCAAAAAATTTGCTTGCAGGGGGTTGGAAATTACCGAAATTTTGAAAAATTCGTTCCAAAATTTTAATTTATACTGATGATAATAATGATTATTTAATACTACTTAGTAGAGATCATCGTAAAGGTTCTTCATCATACGTACAACTAAAAATCAAGTATATATATAATCGATCGAGATCTTACGTCGCGAGCCTCCTCGTCAATGCCGACATGGCCGTCCTTCTGGATGCCTTTGCCCATGGTGAGGTTGGAGACGACATAGCCCGGGGTGAGAATGGTGACACGGACATGTGAGCCCAGCTCAGCCCTTAGGGTTTCGTAGAACCTGATCACCGCGCCCTTACTCGCCTGTAATAATAATAATAGTTATAAGCATCAAGCGTACAATTTTTTTTTAAGAATATTTTTTTAAGCACATACGATATTAGTACTATGGACCACGCGCCAACCCAAAATTTTTTCTTGATCTGTGTCCAATTGGTGATCAAATGTAGGGACAAAAACTGATTAATTAATGAGATGAGTGTGATGCTAGAACTACAGGGAATGTTGCAATCCATGCATAGTACTATACATGTGAACTATACATATAGTGAACCAACATGGAATGAGTAGTCAATGAGCCCCTGCTACTTGCCGCCACTATTGGGCGTGACACATGTAGGATAATCAGTGAACCATAACAGGGGGTTATTGCTAGCTATCAGCTAGATCCTGGCTTGCTAGCTAAGCTAAGCTATCATATACTTTGTGAGATGGACCTCTCTCACTAATGTGTGAGTTTAGCTTTGGCAGATATCCAACCATACGCATAATCCATCACCCCGGGCTATAGTTGGGGTATTGGTGCACCTAATTGAATTGGTTAGGTGAGCTGATCGAAACTTATTGCTACAACCTGAGTAGGAGTAGTACTACTACTTTAATTGCCACAGAGGCATGGATCAATTACTTAATCATGCAATTAGTATCACTAGTAATAAGTAATTAATTTAATTAGTCTCTGCTAATTAAGCTGCTTACGTTGTAGAAGCTCATCCTGGCCGTCGGGACCCTGCCGGCGACAGAGGAGGTGACGACGATGTTGCCACGGCTGGCTTTCAGGTACGGCAACGCGAAGTAGGTCGGGTACACGGCGCCCCAGAAGTTGAGATCCTGCAAAAAATCGTGTGTGCATTAAGGAGCTATAAATAAGAGAAGAATTAATTAACAACTGATCGATGGTTAACCACAACTAGGCTGTGTTTAGATCCAAAGTTTGGATCCAAACTTCAGTCCTTTTCCATCACATCAACCTTTCATACACACACAACTTTTCAGTCACATCATCTCTAATTTTAACCAAAATCCAAACTTTACGCTGAACTAAACACTGCTATAAAATCTGGTCTCCTTTTGAAATCCAAGCTCTGGGAGACCACTGATTTTATTACTGGTGGGTACGTCGTTGGACCAAATAAATGATATAATATAAGGGACCATGGTCAGCTGTGAGGAAAATGATTTTCATATAGTATGTTTTTTTTTTGTGTGTGAACAAGAGGAAACGACTCACTCAAAAATTTCAGATGTGCTAATGTTTAAACTAAGATTTTAATGGTGATAATGAGAACTGCTGGGGGTGGCAAAAATGTTGAAAATGTCAAAAGGAGCTAGCGTGTGATAATTAATCAACTCACAATCACGTTGTGGAAGGCGGTTATGTTGGTAATTTCTTCGAAGAAGCAACTGGACCAGATCCCTGCGTTGGCCACCAGGTGATTCACTGCAGAATTGAATTTACCCCATAATTAATTAGTACACATGACAATAACTAACTTAAATCATCTATCGCTGTAGATCACTGCATGCAGTTCAGCTACTTCCGAGATTTCATCAAGAAATCGATCCCAATTAGCAACGTGTTCAGGCAGCATTCATATTAAAACTTGCTACGAATTTCCATTCCATTGACTTTAGCTATGAGTATAACGACACCATATGATGAAGAGCACAGTGCGTAAGCATGTGTAGACTATAACCAAAATTCTTTTCCAACTCATTACTGTTACAGTATTAGCCTTAATATCTTCTTCCATAAGTGATAAGTCCATGACTTGAACCATTCCATCCTCTCAGCTACTAGACATTCAGGATCCTAAAAGATTAGGTCTTAATTAATTAGCCACTTGGGACTTGGGAGAACGACACAGCCATATACGCATAATCAATTTCTGTCCATAAGCAGATCAAGCTGTCGTTGGCAGGACAACGTCGCCCCAAGCCCTCGGTCTGAACCATCATATCACTCGAAACAAAATCAACGTCGCTATACTATCAGCAGTAAAATTGAATACCTCAAATTTTGAAACAGAGCAATTAATAACTTGTTCGGTCAAGTTGATGGTTGGACATATTAATCCTCCAGATTGGAGTAATTTTATTATTCTTGAGAGAATATACATAGAAGTATCCTATTTCCCAGGATCTATTTTTGTCAAAATTTTGGCAGGATTTTTTACGTATTTATCAAGTTTGGCAACAACTAAACGTAGATATTTTTTTATAACTTTAAAAAAATGGTATGGTTGAAAATGGCATCAAAGTGAACGGGCCCCTAGTATAAAATTTGCTATCTATAGATAATAAGTATATTAAGAATTAAGTGTAAAATTTAATTAGTATCTCATCTTAAGGAACGTAAAATACTTCTTATTAATTAAGCGGTATAGGAGTAGGAGTTGTACTGATCGAGTTAACTGACATTTGCCGAAGTGGGCGACGGTCTCCTCGACGGCGCGCTTGGCGTCGTCGACCTTGGTGATGTCCGCCGGCACGACGAGCACGTCCGGCGCGCCGAGGTCGCGCGCCGTCTTCGCCACTGCGCGCAGGGCGATCTCCGTCCTCGCCGTCAGCGCCACGCACGCCCCCTTCTTCGCGTACTCGTACACTAGATGCTGCAAAAAAAAAACATATATACCATGTTTATTTTATTTTATTAATTTTCATCCAGGACAAACACAAAAAACTTAATAAACAAAAACACAGTGCACTACTATTTGTGAAGAAATTAATTAAACTTAATAAACAAAAACTCATAGTTACTCCGTACTACTATTTGTGAGGAAATTAATTAAACTGGTTCTGTCAAACAAATGAAACCAAAGGTAGACTAGCTTGCTCTGTGTAACAAGAGTATAATTTTTACATGAAAAGAGGAAAATTTTAATTTGAAGCAATTTAATTAGTTTGAACTGACTGATTGTTGTTAATTCGACTGAAACGAGTTGTCAACTTATGATTTTCCAGATGGATTTTTGTTAATGATTTAACCGTTGTCAGCGTTGCATAATTAGCGCATGTACAAGTTACGTGCATATGTATCATTTCTTGGGGTCAGTCGTCCTTATTAATTCGATCCTTTTTCTCTCTTAACTCCCAAAAATTAATAAACGTGTGTGATTCACGACGTTTCTGGACTTCTCCAAGCAAGGACACACAAACACGATCGAAAATCATGAGACGATAAGGGTGTGTTTAGTTCACACCAAAATTAAAAGTTAGTTTGGTTGAAATTAGAACGATGTGATGGAAAAGTTAGAAGTCTATATGTGTAAAAAAGTTTTGATGTAATGAAAAAATTAGAAGTTTAAAGAAAAAGTTTGGAACTAAACAAGTGCTAAATCTTATTTCGCTGTGTACTTCTGCACACGATAGAGAGGACACAGTGCTCACTTTCTTGGCTTGTCCTGACAAGGCTGTACATGTACGTGCCCTTCGTCTTCACAGTGTATCTTACGTTCACGTCAAAGAATTAATGGGAGAATTCAAGGGAAAATAGGACGAGTAGATAGGCCATCATTGATGGGGGTTCACTGATGATTTCATCACTAGTAGTATAGACGACCTCTCATCTCTCTCAGGCCATGAATGATCTTTAACTCCCGTGACTGTATCATCACATGCATCTGGGGACTGGGGGCAGCCATGGCTGCCTATCTGCTACTCCTACAGATATCTAGAATTATGGCCAAGCAAGTTTCCAGGAGAGGTCGATGAGAGAGGCCATGCTCCAAATTAATGGGATTCCCGGATTGTATTTATTGCTTCTGTGCCTACTAGGAATCAGAGTAATCTGACTATAGCTTAAATACTCTGCTTAAGAGCAGGTGTAATAGGACACAGTAAGTTGGCTAAATACTTAGACTGAGGAGAGAAGAGGGAAACACATGAACCAAAAAAAATTATGTGAGAGAGATAAGTGGACCTGTATTAATTGTAAATAGCTGACGAAGGCTGCAAAGAACCTTATAGCTAACAAGTCGGCTGTATTATTAGTTTTGCTCTTAGATAAACATGTCTTAACTACAGTGCTCCAACACTTCCATGTTAGCGCTTAGCACTACAGATAATATGGTTCAGAATTAAAAAAGAATGATATGATATTTCATGGGTTTACTTAAACTGAAAACTATGTTAAGTATGAATTGCAAAATAAATGCTATTACCGAACAAAAGAAATCATTTGTGGGACCCATCCCTTAAAGGTAACTTTGACCAAATTAACTTGTTAATTAAATTATATCAACAACTCACTAATCTAGCTACCACAGAAATGTATCTGGGGGACTAACGGTTCCTCCTAGTTGATGATTTGATTTTGTCACCACATGCATCATTTGATATTTCGACGATGAATGCCTTTTTGGCGCGCGGTGTACTGTTAGATTCATGTATATATACGGTCGACTAATTTCAATTAATTATACCAACCAGATTAAATGCACACACGCTCTAGTTCTAGACGAAGTATCGCGCCCATGCTTGCTGCTGTAGATATTTCGCTTTTATGCATATAAATGCTTGTTTCGGTCCAATGGTGGTGCGGTCATAAAATGGTTTTATATTTCTTTAATATATAAAATGGTCCAATAAATAATATTTTTTAGAGAGAAATAGTCAAGGACCCTGGAGTTGGCATTGATATGATCATCAGCTACAGTTGAAGTCCGGATATGTTATTTTTCTTTTTGGAAAGCTATATATATTAATTACAGAGAAACCATAGGAAATAAAAGCTGTATATATTTATATGAACAGTACAACTGAAAGATAGATATTAATTATATAAAACTATAGGAAAGAGAAATTGTCATGAGTTGGCTCTTACCCACTGTACCGACTTCATTTTCTTTTTACTTTTTTTTCTGGAACACACAAATTATCTATGCTACTTATACTTATATATTGAGGTCCATAAACTTCTACCTATCATCTCAAATATTATTTAGTAGCATAGAAATAAATTAAATTATCATCGTCACCAAACATTTATCAGAACTAATTAAATCAAACTTGTCAAATCTAATTGCAACCATATTGGCAGAAGTCGTTGCAACAACAAAGACCAAATTAAGTTCCAACGTGAAATTTTAGTTGATTTTTTTACTACCACGTCAACTTTGTGCTAGCTAGCCTTGGTGCGTACTCCATGTCACAGTCGACACAGATGCAAAATTAAGATATATACTCCTGCAACCATGCAAATCCACAGGTTCTGCTTTTCAGCTTTGCTCATATGCATGGTTGTGTCTTTAATAGCACCAAATCGTACCAATGAATAAAAGCCACTGCACTGAACCCATTAAAAATCACGAGAGCCATGTATATCCTTGTGTCTTTTAATTCTGTCCTATTTCTATTCGTGATCAGGAGTACATATGTTAGAATGCATTCATTTCCATTATTTCAAACCACCATTCAATATCATTTTTTTAGAAAAAAAATTCAAGAAAACCCAGCACGAACAAAATAAACTCTGAACATTATAAACCATGTAGTAGTATCTAATTAAATCAAGAACTAATATAATAAAAAAAAAGTTGTATATATGCAGCAAACACAGCTAGAAAAAAAAGAATCCAAATCACTAACATCCTCTAACTTAACCCACCATATAGCCCTTGTTTAGTTCCAAAATTTTTCTTCAAACTTCTAACTTTTCCATCACATCAAAACTTTTTACACACATAATCTTCTAACTTTTCCGTCACATCATTCTAATTTCAATCAAACTTTCAATTTTGGCGTGAACTAAACACACCCCATGACTTTATAAATCACTGACATGTGAGTTCGAGCTCGCTATCTAAAGAGCTCATATGTCAGTGACCCACACACACGTTAGAGGAAAGTAAGTCAGATGGCGCAGGACACAATGAGTTGCAATGCTCAGCTGTGCTGGCTACGTACGTACCTCGCCGATGCCGGAGGAGGCGCCGGTGACGAGCACGACCTTGCCGCGGAGGTCCTCGCCGGAGACGAAGGGCCTGACGAGCAGCCTGCCCAGGGCGCGGCAGGCGAAGGCGATGGGGAGGTAGACGAGCAGCACCAGCGTTAGCCCCACGTGCATGAACACGCTCAGGAACCCGTTCACGAACGCCTCCTTAGCCATGGCCGCCGACGATTATCTACCTATGCGTCGTCGTCTTCCTTAGCTCCGGCGGCGGCGGCGGCGGAGGGAGGAGAGGGATGTGTGAGTGAGAACTAGCTTGGAGATTGGAGGTGGCCAATGGCGTGGTATTTATGGGTGAGCTAGCTAGCAACGAGTGTGCAGGGAGAAGAGGAGGAGACGAAGGAAGAAGGAATTGATGGGTGGGTGGGGGTCGCTGCACCAAATAGTGAGGAGAATGTGTGTATGTATCCGTATACCCAACTGCATAAAATGCCCATTTAATTATACTCTAGCTAGCTCCTTTTTGCAACTGTCTTTTTTGTTCTTTTGTTCTCTCTCTCTCTTTTTTCTCTTGTCTGTTCATTGTTCTCTCTCACTGAGACTCTGACAATTAAAGTCGTCACAAAAAACATTTTAAGATCGTTGTTAAGGCCGATCATCAAGAAAAAACTAAAAGCGTCTCTTCTCAAACTTTTTTAACGATAAACTAAAAGTGTGAATATATATATATATGCATGCATACAAATATAATTTGATGCTACATGGATTGGGGAAGCATCACAAGAAGTGTGATGATACTACAGGTCTACAACCACCAACTAATCACCAAGGTTCAAATTGTGTGGGGGCTAATTCCATGCAATTAATTAAAAAAATGTTACTCTACATAGATTTTAATTCTGTGAAAATGGGAACTAATTAATTCAATTGGATTCGTCATGAGAAAGTATTTCCAGAGAGAACTAGCTAGATATGTTAATTTATGCCCTCTAGTTGCATTTTATTCTGGAAGATGTACGCTATACACCGTACATGTGACACTGTAGAGCATTGACTGTGGCTACTAGTTCTGCTTGCTTGGAAGTTGGCCTTGGCGACATCTATCAGGGATCGGGGTGACCAGATACTACTAGTACTCCATATTGGTGATGATGTGTGCATGTAATGTTGAGACCAGGGAGGTGCAAGGCAGGATGGAGATGACCGGAGTTAATACCTCACCGTTGGCACCATGGCCTCTCTCTCTCTAGCTAGCTTGCGGTGGAATTGAACAGGCTAGACGCAGCAGAGACCATATGTATCAGATGGGTCTATTAAGTTCCCAAACAATTTTTTTTACGCTGTCACATCGAATATTTTGACACATACATAGAGTATTAAATGTAGATAAAAAAATCAATTTCATAATTTGCCAGAAAACTGCGGGACGAATCTTTTAAGCCTAATTGCACCATGATTAGTTGACAATGTGGTGCTACAGTAAACATTTGCTAATGATGAATTAATTAGGCTTAATAAATTCGTCTCGCAGTTTCCTGGCGGAATTAGTAAATTATTTTGTTATTAGACTACGTTTAATATTTTAAATATGTGTCCATATATCCGATGCATGTGACATGCAAGGGTAAAATTCTTTGCCAACTAGACAAGCCCTAATTATTTCTCCATTTCACTAGGCTTTGCGAGTAGCAGCTAGCTAGTATAAGAACCTATTTTAGGGGCTTTTTGGTTGGTGTCTAACTTTGTCACAACAACCTTGAGCAAAAAAATATATATATCATTGCACAAAAGTTTGACATAGTTTTTGGAAAAAAGAAATGGAGTGAATGACTTGTGGGCCTAAAGTATGGGAAAGTGTGGCAAGTCCAAGTTTTGACGGTGAAAAAAAATAACTACCTAAAAAATCGATATGGCATGATTAAGATATGGCTTGCCAAAGTAAGGCGCTGTTTAGATTCCAACTTTTTTTCTTTAGGCTTTTAATTTTTCCGTCACATCAAACTTTCCTACATAAATAAACTTTCAACTTTTCCATCACATTGTTCCAATTTCTTCAAACTTTTAATTTTAGCGTGGAACTAAACATAACCTAAGAAATAAACCAAATAACCCTGAGTGCTCTGTTCATCCCAGGAAACTCCGAATAGCCGCCCTATACTGAAGCAATTTTCAGCCCCATTATTATGTAACTTCAATGGCAAGTTTCCCACACATATTTGGCTTCCCACACATATATGAATTGCTAGAAATAAAGTCAATGCGGAACGAGATAACTAGTAGTTATATGTCAAAAGATTACATTTTGTAACTTAATAATTATTTTCGTTTTTATACGGGGTGCTATATATCTTTAGTCCTAGCACTGGTGGAGAAAGCCTTTTTACTCCTGGTTGGTAACCCCCCTATAGTCCTGGTTTTCCAACCGGGAGTACGAATCCGGGACTAAAGATCGATATCTTTAGTCTCGGTTCAAATACCCGAGACTAAAAATAGATCTTTAGTCCCGGTTGGTAACAACAACCGGGACTAAAGAGAGGGTAGCGGCAGTGCAGATGGTCCTTTTTTTTATTGTTTCTTAGAGTTAATCCCTATATTTTCTTCAGAATCTAGTTCCATATATATCCCCAAATCCCCAATTCAAAGTAATATCCCAAATCTTAAGTTTCTTATACACACAAATCAAATACATCACAAATCCTAAAAAATACACCGAAATCAAATACATCACAGATTCATCTCAGATCCATCACAAAATTATACATCTCAATCAATCACAAATTATCAAAAAAAAGGGAAGACGTCTGCCGGCAGATGAGAGGGCACAGCCGCCGCCAAGAGCGCCCCCACCGGCCGCCGCCATGCGCGGCACCTCCGGCCGCCTGCCTAGTCTGCCCGCCGCAGCTGCGCGCGCCGCCGCCGGCCACCGCCGTGCGCTGCACCTTCAGCCGCTGCCCTCCATGGCTGCCGCCGGGCGCGGCCCCGCCAGCCGCCGCCGCGCGTGGCACCGCCGGCCGCCGCCCGCCATGGCCGCCACTGGGCACGGGGCCGCCGGCCGCCGGTCGCCGGCCGAATGGGAAGGGAGGAGAGGGGAGGAGAGGGGAGGAGGAAGGAGAGGAGGGGGGAGGAGAGGATAAGTTTGAGGAAGGTGAAGGGAAGAGGATAAGTGTAAGGAAGGGGAAGGGATCTGTACGTGTGAGGATGTTGTTGTGATTTTGGAGGAGAGAAAGAGGGATTATATACTACGTATTAAATTTTAGTCTCGGTTGATCTTTAGTCCCGGTTAGTAATACCAACCGGGACTATAAAGATGATCTTTAGTCCCGGTTAGTGACACCAACTGGGACTAAAGATCCTCGGCCCCCTGACATCGTACTGACACGGGATGAACCGGGACTAAAAATGATTTTTAGTCCCGGTTAGTGTTACCAACCGGGATTAAAAATCATAAAATAGCTGTGGGGTTTTTAACCGGGACTAAAGATCTTTAGTCCCTGTTCTTTTTGGAACCGGGACTATTGTGGTTTTGAGTCGACCCAGCAAAGATCGTTTCTCTAGTAGTGTAGACTACTTTATTTAATGTTTCTGCAAAATTAAGTTTTTAATTTTGGTTCATAATTTTATAAGAATGAGTATGCAGGTGATCATCGCAAACGATATAATAAAAATATTGTGTCTGGTGTACAGTAGCTAATTAATTACCATGTTGTTCGCAACATATATATACAATTCTTTTATGTCCTATAACAAATATAATTTTGGTTGTCATAAATTAATATTGCCAAATATAATGCTCCTTGTGTTTCCGTCTCACGTCGGCTTTGATCCAACTAGGGATTGTACCGTTCGCGAAATCCAGGCCGTCCGTCCACAATCCGACGATCACACGGGTGTGGAAGGGCCAACACAGCGGGACACATGGACGGCCAGATCGACCCCACGGCGAGATCGGATAGTGGACAGCAGCGGGGACCGGCGCATAATTAACCAAAAGCGCAAGGTTTTTTTTGCAAAAATCGCTGACACGGCGCTCCTAACCTTCCAGCGTTCCCACGACGAGTAAACCTATCTCTGGTGGAGAAACCCTTTGTAGTCTCGGTTCGTAACCCCCCTTTAGTCCCGGTTTCCAAACCGGGAGTACCAATCCGGGACTAAAGATCGAGCTGACCTTTTTTTTTTGGCATGGCCCTGTTGCTGCATGGTTTATATATATATATATATATATATATATATATATATATAAACCATGCATATATATGTTTCAATACATATATATGCATACATATATATATATATATATGTATATATATATATATTATATTATATTATATGTATATACATGCATAATATATATGTATTTATACATATATATGTTATGCAAATGCATATGTATATAGATATATATATGACCAAAATATATTTACATTATAGAAAATGTGTACACATGCATATAGAAATATATGTAGTCATGTATTAATTACAATCTATTATATGTCCTAGCTAGCTACGATTTCGACGTAGTAGTACTCGCTGCTAGCTCAGAAGCTAAGGACCGGTGAATTGTGTTTCCGTCGTAGTAGAATTCACCATTGGGATCAAGGATTTCTTCGTTGATGAATCCCATGAGTTGTTCTTGAACCACCGCGATAAATTCCTTGTGTGTGGTCAGGTTATCCCTCATGCGAATAAACTATATGAATGTATGAAATTGATTAGTAATTAAACAAGAAATCGCTACGTAATGAAATTTTGAATTTATTTGTACGTACATCGAGCTCTCTTGTGGTAATGATTTGGTCTGCAAGGCAGTGGCAATACTCGCACACGTAATAGCCGCACAAGTTAGTTCCCTGCTTTTGCTTTGCGCACTACAAATAAATGACAAACAACGAGAGATCTAATTAATATACACTTGTATGTATTTGAATCGGAGAAATATAAATGTAGAGCATGTGTACTCACAGGAAATTTGAACTTCCGCCTAAGTCTTTCTCTCCATTTGCCGCGGACCAAATGACGGAACCGATACCAAGCCCTACATAGAGTTTAAAGCTATGATTCGTAGTAGCAATTAACATAACAAGATTTTCTTAATTAACAAAGGAACTTATGACGGTACCTGTCTATAAGTTCGAAAACCTTGTCAAACGTAGACTCTTTTTTATCCATTGAGTCATATACGTTGACGGTGCAGGCCTCCAGGTCGAAGAGTAAAAGCACCCAGTGGAATCTGCAATGTGCGTGGGATGCATTACATATGAAACACTTAGCAAGTTCGTACGGGAATGAAATTTGGTATGTAGGAAGACAGTAAAATTAAACTAACTCTGTGTTGTATGGCAACAGTATGAACGTCTTGTAATGCTGCGCCTTCAGGAGATGGACGAGATTGTCCTCTATTTCTTGTGGATATTGGTCGAGCATTGCGACGTTTACTTTCCGAGGGTCGATGAA